GAAAAAAACACATGGGATTTCACCAAAATGCCCCATAGTCGGTGATCACTTTCTGGACCAACAGCCTGCATGGCTCGCTTCCAATTCCCTTTGGACTGCAGCCACTGGCAGGCACTGTAATCGCCACCTGAAAGCCAAGCAGGAACAAACTGCACAACCAATCAATAAATGAATAGATCAAAATGTGTACGGTTCTAATGTGTTTTCATCAGTATCACATTGCATCAAAAAAATAATGTTGGATTTCCAATTTCCATGACATATATACATATGTATACATATATCATATTGTAACTATGGGCGCGCCTGAACATAGGGCACCCCAACATTTGATGCTTAATCACAATGTTCTTACTAAACTTACCATTTTGGATCATCTTGGGAGGTATGTCACATGTCCAACCAATCACTAGCGCCCTTTTTCAGCATGTCCAGCGCCTTTCTGCGTTGGAATCCCCACGTGGTTGCGGTATTTGAACCACCTCATTATTCGGGCAGGCGCCCCCAAAAATCCGTGGAACCACAGGAGCGAAAAACATGATCTGGTTGGTGGTATACCTACCCCTCTGAAAAATGTTAGTCAGTTGGGATGATTATTCCATATATTAATAATATATTATGGAAAATCAAAAAAACGTTCCAAACCACCAAGCAGTGATAGACTTTTCATCCAGGCTGGACATGTTGTTTCTATTCCCTGTCGTAGAATTTCTTTGGGGTTCCGAGGTGATCAAAGGACTGGGTGGATCCAGAAGACTCCACTGAAGCCCGTGGTGTATCCTTTTCAATGAAGTAAAAAGGAGCAGCAAAATACTGGACATTCCTATCGGGAAAATAATTTTAAAGATTTTTGAAGCATCTTCACTGGAACAGTTATATAAGTGGCTACGTTCTCGCCTAAGTCATTTTTCTAGATACGTCTTACGACTGTCTTTCCATGGCCATCTCCTATGTCATCAAGTCGTGTTGGTGACATTGAAAGGTTCTCAAATCCATTTAATGTTGGATGGTGAAGGCCCTCGGGGATCCATGATTTATTGCCACCCAGAAAACTGCCAGCCGAGATGCTTGTGGGCTTCTGGGCAAAGGTCCTCATCACAGGGCATGGACATCGAGCCGTCAGCTAAGTCAGCTCTCTTTGATAAGGTTCTGATGTTCTGATCCATTGAAAAGAAATGAGATTGGAGCCCCAGGACAAACTTCCATATATAATAATACATACATCTCGATTCTTGCCAAAATCTGCGCGCTTCTTATTGTAACCATTCGATCATGGGACCACCATTCAGGCCAAGCGCTCAGCTTCCACAGGAAACCCGTCGAGGTTGGAAGTTAGAATCCCCAAAGTTGTTCAGCAATCGCTTCTGCAAACCCTTTCCTGCAAGTGATTGGTCCAAGGCATTGAGAAAAAATCAGTACCAACAGGCCTGATGCTTGATGGGTTTTTTTCTTATTCATTACAATCAGTTATTAATTTGTTTACTTTGATCCCCAACAATTGCCATAGTCCTGAATCAACGTCAGGGTGACCCTCCTCGCCCTTGACATGAACCATCCACAAATTGTGTATAGCATATGGCCGTCGAACAAGTTGATAAAGAATTGGCTGATGGGTGTAGGTTAGAAAATCCTATTTTCAAACAAACCCATGTAGCTCTCTCTCTCTGTAAAAAATATAATGATGTACAGTAATTGGATATAATTGCATATATGTACATATGAATATGCATGTGTGTACATAGGTCCTTGGTAGCAAATAAGAAGTAGCAAACCGGTCACAGAAATAGCATCAAACATCATCAAACAGCTGTATATCTATATATCTATATATATATATATATCTATATATCTATATATATATATATCTATACATATGTAATCATATATATCTATCTCTATATAGATATATCTATATCTACGTATATATATATATACACGCATTTAAATTTATTTTATAGACTGATAACTAAAACATGGATAACCTTTGATTGATAGGCTCTTTTCACTAGATGGCACTATGTTACAAACGCCAAGTCGTTAGTTCCGAAGCTGGCTGCAAACAAGTTGCCAGAAAAGGCGAGGTTGGCCGTCCCAGCCCTTGCGCAACACGTCAACACCAGGGATGGCTGGAACAAGTTAGGGATTTCTTTCCATCCTGCGTTGCATAAAGCTCTACCAATCTCTACCACATGTAGACCAAACCTTGCCAACATCTTGGACAACATTATACATAAGAATACATAAGATAGAAGTTCTGGTACAACATCTTGTCATCAGACTCAGAGCATTTAAGAAAACTAAATCGCGCAGGCACACAACAAAAGGGCACTTGGAGGTGCAGTTCTACTACTATCCCAACTGTATATTATCTGTATATTGCCATGTAATGGTAAGGATTTATGGGGCATATATATATATGGTAATGTATACAGTGATTAGTAGATGTTACCACGGTTAAACCGAGATCTCCCCCGAAAAACTCCACCAGCGGCTTTTTCGCCAAGACAGCAGCGCCTGGAGCTGACATGGGCATCAAACCTCGAGCTTGGCGTCGCGGGGGGCTACGCCATTTGATATTTGGGGATGGTCACGGTCAGGGGGTCTGACTTACCCTCTGGTAATCAAACATGGCTTGCTGGAAAATCCTTTTTTTAATAACTGGTTGGTGGTATACCTACCCCTCTGAAAAATATGAAAGTCAGTTGGGATGATGAAATTTCCAATATACGGAAAAATGAAATTCATGTTCCAAACCACCAACCAGATGGCTTGCTGGAAAATCCTTTTTACATAAGGTTTATAGCTACAAAGGGTGGGTTTTCCATTGCTACGTCTAATTACCAAGGGTAACTTGGCCGTCTGGCAAATCACCCATTTACTTCCATGATCTTCGATATGATCCAATGTTTTATACATGTGCCATTTATTTTGCCATTAACAGTCGGGATTTTCCAGCTAATATGAACAATCACCAAAGGGTATGGACCCTGGGACTTCTCTGAATACATGGGACAGACCGCATCCGGATAACCCAAATCCAGGATCTATCCGAGTCGCATTTCATGGCAAATCATTTGCAAACAAGGATCTGTTTAGCTGGTTGGTATATAAATATAAATGCATATTATATATATACAGTATATAATATGCATAAAGTTAAACACACATAAATGTATACATACAACTATACATGACATGCATATGTATATTAATATGAATATAATTCAAACATATTTAAAATCCATACATTCGTAATTGATATGATTAATTATCTGATCTATAAATGTATGCAACTTTCCTTTTTCATAGAAAAAACATTAAAGTCAAATCCCCCACCAGCCCCAAGTTGACCCATGCCCAGTGGCTGGTGGGAATCGTCGCCGCTGGCACGCCCGGCACGGGCCCCGGCATGCCCATGCCTGGCAGGGCATAGGCTGTGCCAGGAGCACACAGAGATGGCCTTGGTCCCACCGCGGCCGCAAGGGATTGTTCGACACTTCTCCGGCCACACTGGAAGCACCAAATATCCAAGTTCGCCACACGGAAAATTCAGCAGTAAACATACTCGTTCGGCTTTTTGATAGGTTCAAAGTTTTCAAGAAGTCAGCACTGAAGATGGGTATGATTCAATCCATCGAGCACATCAAAGCATATTCAAACCAAGAAAACTGGAATAGAGCTGAGTAGAAAACCAACAACATCGCGGAGCAGGCAAAAACACAAAGAATCAAAAAGTTTGGGCGGATGGTTTATGGTTTAACTATGTTGAACTATGCAGAAAGCAGAGATATAGTGGGAACGTCATAGGGATGTCCAAAGCACAAATCGGGACTCCTAACCATCATAACCAACACTGATTGGTCACAATTCGGCTGCCCAAGTGAGGATGGAAATCAAAACAAAATCATGTTGTAGGGATCCCACGAATCCAAGACCCAAAGATGTCCTGGTTTGAAGGAAATCCTTCCCCCATCGGACTAGGGGAAATTCACATTTGGAATGATATATCCCCACTTCAACAAGCCAAACAGTAAGGATGAACTTGCATGTTCTATGATTCCACTTGGAAACTCCCCGGGGAGACTTGACCAACGATCTCAAAATGCATCGCAGGGACGCAATCAAGGGCGGTGGCGCACCTCGCTGGGGGGAGCTGAAATGTCCTCCCCCTGACCCTGCTAGCCTTCGTAGCCTTCGGCGTGGTACAAGGTGGGCCACCAGTGATGTTTGTTTGTTTACAACATTTTATCAACGTTTCATAACCTACATAAACTATATATATATATTGTTACATATTAGCTATAATTACCAACATCCTGGTTGTGCATGGTTATACTATGCTAAACCCTAAACCAGTTAAGAGTATGTTGACCAACTTAGCCAAGGACCTGGGGCACCACCTTCTAGTTGGTCACCAACACCCCATTTCCACCATTTCCACCACTGCCTGCGTTCTATGGACAGTGTATAATTACTTATATATCATCTCCTTTGCTGCAATAGTCATTTGATATCATGTTTTACCTTTATATATATATATGCAGTATACATCTCTCTCTCTCTCTCTGCCCATTAGCCCATCATCCCCTTCCAGAGTTCAGCCATCTGGGAATAGGATGTGCGTTATTGAATTCCCGTACCTGAATTGTTGCATTCATTTGATGAATTACAAGGCAGTACCCAGTAGTTGGCATCATTCATTCATCGCAAGGTGGGACATAGGCATCCGCAAGAAAATATAGAACAGTTGGCAACCTGGAAGCTATGATGGAACTTTATCTACAACATCCTGCCCTCCCCAAGAAAAAAATACATGTGTGATGTTATAAGGCTAGTTGATTAAAAAATCCTATGCCCAGGCCTCGCGCCATTAGGATCTGGCCGTCAATGTAGTTGAAGGCAATCTCACCTACCGAAACCGACGAGATGAGCCACAAAAATAGGCGTGCAACTACCATTTTTCACGGTAACCACGACAATAGTAAGGGTTCATGAAAACCTAATTAGCTCCTATCAACCTTTGTTAGGGGCTTATCAAGCCTAAGCTTGCACTCTTTTTTGAGGGAGGGACCATTGGGCGGGAGGCCTTAGAGTGAGCACAGTGCACACCAAAATCAGGGTGTACCCAACAAACATTGGGATGTAAGCAGCACAATGATACATAATGCAAATATATGATGATAATTTATAATTGATGATATATGTAGATGGGGGGATTTACCAACCAGCATGGAATTCGAGCGACGAGAATAGGAATGTGACCAAGAACATGTACGGTATACAGATTTGACCAGCAAACATGGAGGACCGACCAAATTGGTGATTTAACAATTTAACATCAGGGCTCCTCATGTTTGCTGCCTACACTTTCGGCCGGGTTTAACCAGCATTTAAAAAACTTCACGCTATCTCACACTAATTTGCATCATAAGTCATCATATGTGTCCTCCAAAAGGGGTGGTGACCAATGCCTATATCATTAACACATGGCATGGTGTATTCTTCCTGCATCTGGTAGATCCGTTGGTAAATATAAGCAATCATGGGGTCTTGGCGAGTAACTTGTCTTTAAAAATGGTGGATGCCACCCCAAACCATTCGTTACTATTCACATCTATTCACTTTTCACTTCTTAAACAAGCCAGTACTTGGAGTTGTATCAACAGTTGGAAGCCCATTCACCAGTCATTTCACCATATTTGACCCACTCCAGCCCGCTGATTCCTCGTGGCCTCGTGGGATTCGCCAACTCTCCCACCATCCCTGCTTGATGGAGTCCATGTCCTGATGGGGTCAATTATCTGCCGGGGGGTTGACTGAAAATTGGTAACCCATGGTAACCCCATAATCATCCATAATCCATTGGCTTACTTACCATTGGCTTACCATTGGTAACTAAAATCGGTAATCCATAATAATTGGAAAATTGGCTCACTTTCAGTTCCAAAAAAAATCCATTGTTCTTCAATCGCCACAACTTCTGGCTATAACCCTCTTCAAACACGCGTAACATCGAAACACTTTGCCGAGGCTCGCAACCATCGCAGCAAAGTTTGCCAATCTCCTGGCCGAGGACGGACCTACAATCCGATCTGTGACTAGTGGTGGACACGTTCTTGTCGCATCATTCCGCGCCACATGCTGTTACCCTCTGTTTATGACTAACAGTTCGCCATGGTTAAGCCATGGCCCATAGAAATAGATGGTTTACCTATTAATAGCATGGTGATGTTCCATGGCTATGTTAAAGCACCAAATGGTATTTCAAATAAGTTCAACTTACATTTGCCAACATCTACCTTAACATTGCCTTGCCATGTAGCCAACTGTTTTCTTATGACCTGAATAATATGTCGGTTTGTCCTGACATGGGGTTGGCACCCCAACACTAAAACTGAATTAGCTAAGCGATGATAACCATTGGATTTGTGGGTCAACCTATGTTTGGGCAACCACAACCAACCAAAAAAAACAAAACGACGCGGCCCATCTGACAACACGCCTAAACGGAGATATCCCACTTACAAGTAACTTACAAGATTTGATTCTAGATTTGATTCTACCTCACTAAAACCTTGAAGTTATGAAGCACATAATTGCTTAAGATCACATTCGTCACTTACCCAAGTTATCGCATATCATAACCATAGTGCAACAACACCGTGCTATGATCCAAAATAAACCAACACTCCCTCACCTTGAAGTGCGTATGTGCAGCGATATGCGTGTGCCAATTCGATGGCCGGCCAGCACCAGCTTGTTCGCATACTTTGCAGTGGTCGATGTGGAAGCCAACCCTCCAATGTCGAGCTGGATGGGAGCTGGATTTGCTGACTGCTCCCCATGGCATGAGAAAAAATTCAGGCTGATATAAGTTACTATAATTCAGCCCAATACAAGGCATGTATGTGTAGATTTAATGTTTTGCATGTGCAAATGTTATCAACCATTATTACATACACACAGGGATATCTATATATACCATCATCAAAGCGGGTGTAATAGTGCCCAGCTTTTGCAGCTGCTAAACCATCTGCTTGCCGTCAGATTCCGCCAGGTGTTTGCATCAAACCCGCTATGTTTTCTTTGGGGGGGGTTGATGCAAACACTTAGGGTACTGCCACAAAGCTGATTCGAATGCTGGCAGCTATTGCATGACAACCTCACCTGAAATCTAGGATATTTTTGATACGAACAATAAATATCATATATATATATACTGTATATATACACATAGATAAGGAGGGCCAATGAGAACTGCTCATTCCCTGACAGTAAAATGACTCAATTTACCAACCATACAGTAGATCTACGGTAGTAACAATCCACTATGAACGAAAGGCTAAAAAAATGAGTCATTGGATGTCATTGGGATTTTCGATGATGTTCTGGGAGGCCTTTTTTAGTATCTCATAAACTCATGTTTTCCATGCCAATTATTGTTCTACCCGTCGATGCCCGTTTTTTTTCCTGGTCCCCTTTGTGGTGGAACATGGTCGCCCCAACGAAGCAAATTGCGAGTCATTTTGGAAACGAATTTGGGGTGATTGTGTGATTTATAGGTACATGGTCCATGTATCTCCATTGTCCATGTCAACTGTCAACTATTCATCATTTGGGCGTTTCCTGAAATGGGGTACTCCCTATAGCTGGATGGTTTACAATGGAAAATCTCAATCGAACATGGATGATTTGGGGGTACCCCCATGGATCGGAAACAGCCATATTTATATATATATATATACATCATATATACCATGGTTTAATGTGGGTAAAACAATGCCATAAACCATCCCCCAGTCATCATTACTATCAACCTCCATTTGTTGGTCAAGACACCTCTGGAGGAAGCTATCCAAATTATACGCTCGAGTTCCCATCTTCAACTTCCAGGTCTCCTGTAGTTTCTCGGTGGGGTAGCTGGTTCATCGGCTTGGTTTAAGGGAACCGACCTTCCGGTAATCTAACAGTTTTGCCATGGAAAAAGGGTAATTTAGGAGGTAGATCATCAACAAACATGGCATTGTCCATGGTATATCGGTATAGTATGGTTCTTTCCCATTAAAAACAGGGCGTTGCATGTTGCAACGCAACTGTTTCCATTCTGGGACTGGTGGTGCCAATTTCAGCCACCAAAAAAAGGGTGAAATCACAGCGAGACAGTGGTTTATCCTGGGAAATCCTTCCTAAACAAAGATGAAATCATCAGAAACTAACCATTTTTAGAAACTATCTTTGGGATGAGGGGTGATTCCCTTCACTAACCATGATTTCTCTTTATCAGCGGTCCTGGTGAGGTCGTTAAAAATGCAGCTGGGACCCCATAAGTTGGCCGAAAACATGTGTGAAGAAAACAGGAATAGAAGGTGCCCAGGATTCTCCAGGACAATCAGGTTGAAGGGTTTGATGGGGGTTGATAATACTTTAATAACCCCTAAACATGTCCTTTATTTTGGTGGCACCACTGAAAGGTGCTATGAATTGAAACTTCCATGGTAAATCTTTATCCATGGGTTGATGACAATCCCCCCCCGTCACATGGCCTCATGGCCCTGGCAATTACCCACCTGGTCATCCAGTCCTTGTTGCTGAGATGGGGATAAATCCGCCAGTCTCCACTGTGGGCAATCCGCTCAGATACTGGGTTTCGAATCTCGATCCATTCGCCGTCCTGGTGGTTGGGCCGGGCATTGCGTAATATTAGTTCTCTGGTGACGCGTAAAATTCGGTAAAAGCATCGAACATCTGAGGTAAATCTTATGTTTAAATGTCATTAACCATTATGAACCATTATTAACCATTATTAACCATTATTAATCATTATTAACCATCATTTTCCCATTCCCACCCATGATTTCTCCATGGTTACCTTAAGGGTCAAGCTAGTTGTTCTACAGGTTTCTGATCGAAGCAGTGAAGCAGTGGCAACTTCCATAGCCACAACCCAAGACCCTGGAGACCTGGCATCTTCCCCCCAAATATGGTATCATGGGTTAACTTTAACCCGTAAAATATATTATATATTTATGGGTTATCTATGGGTTAAAGTTAACCTATGATACCAATATAGATAAATAAATAAATATATATATATATAATATATATATTATAATATATCGATTTATTTACTCATGTATTGAATTACCTGCTGCATATAAACAAATGCCATTGTATACTTATTGTATCTTATTGTATACTTATTATATACCATTGTCGCCGTTTTAGTGTTACCGCGTGGTGGCTTGCCCAGTCCTTGTGAAGCTGGGTGGGGTCCGGAAAATCTTCTTCCATCAGGAAAGGCCCCGTTTCTGCCATGAGAGGACCGTTTTCCATGGCAAGCTGGAAAACCGCGCGGTTGATGGCGCGGTTGATGGCGCAAGGCTTGAAATGCGAAAAAAAAGACTCTGGCTGGTGTTTTACCTCCCCCTCTGAAAAATATAAAAGTCAGTTGGGAGTATTATTCCCAATATATGGAAAAATAAAAGCCATGTTCCAAACCACCAACCAATTAAGAGTCCAGCGATTTTGCTTGCCACCTGATAACATTACCAGTACCATTCTGATTTTCATGGACAAATCATTGTGATTTACAGTGATTTATATGCTGCCTCCAAGGTGGTCGGGCTGGAGCCTACCCAACATGGGAACAGTCCGAACTGGGAAAATGGTGAGAAAGTCATGGATTTTATGGGCTGCCCATTTTCAGATCAGAATTTGAAAGATACGGTACCTAAGTCTTGATAGATGCAGAGTTCATCCTGACCATGCAGCAGTTGAACCCTCCTTGAACCATGGTGCCTGATGGGTGCAGCATGATGTAGTGGCCCTCTGGCCTGCAAAATAGTGCTTATAGAGAATCAACATATCCGTCCAAACAGGGATCGCAAAGAACATGTGATGTGTCTGAAAATGCGGTACACAATTGCCACCCAAATATCAATTCCAATGAGGAATTTGATGATCAATTAACATAAACTATGGGATCTTCGGCTCTTCCTAGTCCCAGCGCTACACAGAAAATGCTCCTCTTCACAATTGTGTGGGTCCATTGGTGCCCAAATTTGAGCACCGCCTCGTTGACCCTCGTGACAATTCTTGGGATAATCAATGTATGCAGCATGCGGCACGCGGCACGCATCGTTGGGACACGAGAAGACTAATGATTCAACCTTGGATGTCAGCAACATGTATCAACAAACACCATCAAACACCCACATGCAAATTGAGTGACCTCAAATCATTAGTGGAACTGATCCAAACCCATCCGGGTCCCCGCTCAGAAGCCATCACCAACCATTGCCCACGACCATTGGGTTCCCGGGCTCATGGACTAAGTAGGAAACCAAGGATTGACACAGTTCAGCGATCCTGCACGAATAGCTGCTTGGTTCAATAGATGCAGGAAAACACCATTGAACCAACCAGCTAATTGAACCACCCAACTGAAACCCATACAGCTGGTTGGTTCAACCCAACAGTATCAGCTGGTTGAGACTCAACTGTATCGATACCATGGTAGGGCCATCCCCAAATGAATCACTGATCATCATCTCGGGGATGGAAAATGATAACCCTCTGGTAATGGAACACAGTTCGATGCCAAATAGGGGTTGGAAGAATAGTTTCCACTAAACATTGGTTATTTTAGGGTCTACTGTATGTTAATTTGCATAATAGGTATATCATAAAAATATATTGTATTATATCCGTGCATACATACATTTGAAACATCCGCTTGTGCGGTGGCCTTCCGTTTTAGATGATCTGTTGGCCAAAAAAAAGACTTCAACTGCCAAAAAGGTTTAGGGCCAGGGTATCACATGGTATCACATTTTTTGGATCTAGCGGTACATACGTGCTTAATACTTATAAGCAAAACAAACTTACAGTTGTTATAAGATCCAGTCTCAGCAATTTCCATTCTCGTCCGCCACCTGGAAAGGGACCAGTCCTGATGTCAAAGCATCCTTCGATGCGCATTCCAGCTAATATGTGGTGAAGAACCTTGTCAATTGTTGATCCATCACTTTCCCCCAACAAAAAGAAACATTTTGAGGTACATACTGTAGACCCAATATCTGAAACAAAATCATCCCATATTGTTGGCTATATCTATACACGAGTCTGCCTATCCCAGTATATCTGCATAAAACGGTTTGTGTGTGTGTGTGTGTGTTTGTGTTTGTTTAATTAATCCCTTGATTTTTGTTGGTTTACCCCCGCTGGTAATTCAACAAATTGCTATGGAAAATGGGCAGTTTTCATATAGATATATATATAATATAAACCATCCACGAAAGGGCCGTTTTCCGAACAGGGTGAGGCCCCCCATGACGATGTTGGGCCCCAACCACCATGGCCATCTGCTCCTGACTGGATCCTCCTGCTCTAAGACTTCTGTTAGACCCGGCCTGAGCTCATCAACCAGAGGATGAGGAGCTCTCTTTGGGGACAACCGGGGATAATTGTGAATGAATCAATGTTTAGTCCCAGCCAGGGGTGACGTTACATCTGATACAACATTTTGGGGAGTTGAGCAAGAAAAATAAACATGCTACTGACAAACAAAACTATGGGATCTAAGCTGAAATTGGGCTTTTAACCAGCCCAAATGGAGATTCAAGTCAATTCGGCTGTCCGCTTGGAGATAGGTCGCGTCCAAACTTACTTGCTTTTTCATGACAGTTCTATGGGCGTTACCCTTCCCACCCTTCTATTGTAGAGCAAACTGACACAAAATGGTTGGATAATACCAGCCATACAGGTAATCAACTTGTGGCTTGTTAGTGTTTCCTCCATTGATCTGGGTAAATTTAATCATATTTAAAAACCTGAATAACCTCAAATTGGAGTGATTTCCATTGATTTAACACAGAATCTAAGCCGTTGATTCCAGGCTTCAGAACCGTCGCAAAAAACCGGGCCCCAGGACCATTCCAACTTCTCCGCGGCCATGCAGGTCACCTGCCTGGCATATGGGACCCAGGGATGATGTCAATTGGGTGATTTCACCAAAAATGTTGGATTTCCACAGGATTAACACTAATCTAGGCATAAAATGGGATTTCATTGGGTTGTAGCCACCAAATACTGGGAATCCTCGCTTGGATGAACCAATATGCATTGGGCACCAATAGATTCAATATACATTGCTCACGCTTCCGTGGTCCAGAAGAAAAAAAACACAGACATAATTGTGGATGCCATAGGGGGTCAGCCCTTTACAGCCCGTCAGAATGTGTTTTCTTCTGGACCATGCTCAACGCTTACCAACACAATTGTGTGATACTTGAGGGCAAACCTTTCTTTTCAAAAACAAACCCAAATGCATGTTGGAAGAATGTTAGGAAAATCAAAGGGCCAGTGGCAAGACTATCAGGTTTGCCTGCCATGGCCATCCACAAAATCTGCAACAATTTTGGAGCAATCAGATCCAATGAAGTTTCAAAAATCGGGACATCAGGCAATGCGAGATCTGATCATTCTATATTTAAGGCCACATCAAAAAAAACATCATCTACAATCCTGTGGCAAATGGAAGCACTGGTCACTGGTTCGTGTGAAGGTGGCGCAAGAAACCCAACCAGCATGGACAAGCTGAGCGCTTGGCTCCAAGGGTGGCGCGTCAGGTAGGTGGCAGTATCTGTAGTAACCTGCTTGGGAGGATCAATTGCATCAGCGGTTGCCCTTTTTGTGTCCTTATGCCTGGCTGGGAAATGCTGGAACCAAATAGAGGGAAGAATATGTGATGAGAAACCCGTCTATCAGAATCTAATTATAGATGAGTATATTGATGAACGATATTCCCATTTTCCTTGGTTAGGTCTTCACTGTTGTTGGTTATCTTCCATTTTGTTGGGCATATCATTTTGATTCATTTTGCATGTGTGACATGCCCTGCATGTTGATATTACGTTTAGTTTTAGTGCTTCTATCCCCGCTGTTTGGTGGCAAGGAGTGGCAACGACCAAGGCTCCAAACCCACTTCACCACCACCAAGGTCCATGTAATGCCTGGAACCGCACGGTTGAGGGTGATGGTTGGGATCTCCCTGTCTACCAATCGCTACATACATGTATACCTTTATCTATCGTGCATATTTCTTTTAGACCAAGTGTAAATGCATATGTAACCTTTATGAAAAATAAATAACTATATATATATATATACATGACAATATGTAAAATATGGATGTTAAGAATACACGTAATATATATATATATATATACAGTATACGCATTTAATACACATATATATATATACATATACATTAAATACTATATATATATATATACATTCAATATATATATATATACAATAAAACAATGTATGTGTGCATGTATCCGTCCATCTGTCCATCCATCATGTCATATGTCGATTTACCATACCCATTCATCCATGGCGTGCAAAGTGCAAGTTCAAATTGCCTATGTCGTATGCGTTCCGATCCCCGCCCTGCTGAACAGACCGAACGTATCCAGCATTCTCACAGGTAGTATTGGGTCCTTGCCAACCTTCTGCACACACACACAGCATTGCAGCATAGGAATGCATAGGATACATATATATATATATATATATGTATATATACACATATAAATATATACATGTATATATGAATATACATATATATATATATGTATATATGTGTATATATATATGTATATATATATATTATTTTGTTGTATGTATGTATGTATGTATGTATGTATGTATGTAATGTATGTATGTATGTATGTATGTATGTATGTATGTATGTATGTATGTATGTATGTATGTATGTATGTATGTATGTATAATTACAGTATGAATGATCTCAAATATATGCATACGATTGGACAGGAATGTAAATCTGAAGCTGGCGTTGCCGCATCCTACCTTCCACAAACCAGTCTATCAATCTGAACGTGAATCAAGAATACATAGTGATCATAGCGCAAAATGTGCAAAGTCTAGGAGGATCGTGCAACATCTTGCAATCCTATCCACAACAATGGGGTGCTGCGTTCATCTTTTGACCGGCACCACGGTGTTGGCCAAGCCACGTCTCAACACCTTCAAGCACCGTAGGGTGAGCCAAGCGCCTTCACACCCATGAGTCATCGGTTTTATTGAGGCTTTTGGTCCTTTTGGTGGGCTCTTCTGAAATCATACGCCTACATGGCTGAAGTATTTTTTTCAGGGAACAGGCCAAGAGTTATGCCCAATGAGTGATGGACCTCGCCTCCCACCCGAAAGGTCTGGTGACCATGGGGAACCATCCAGTCATAGATATGCATCTAGCAGCTAGCATGCTGCGCACAACGCCTGAAAGAACACGGAAAACAGGAAAA